AGAGGGCCACCGGCCTGGGGCCTGAGCGGGCAGTGGGAGGAGGGGGGTCGCCCAGGGCCACCGCGGGGGAAAGGTGACTTCTTCGAGGTGGGAGCTGGGACTTGCTCTTTTCTCTCCCCCAATCTCCCCTTTCCCCTTGGGTTCAGGAAGAAAAACAACAAAAACCAACCAACTCCCCCCCGCCCCGACCCCCAAACTTAGGGATTTAGTTTGGGGGAACTTCGCTTGGGACGGGTTCGGGCGATGGCGCCGCGGGCGGGAGCGGGAGAGGCGCGTTCTAGAGGCCGAGCAGCAGTTGGCGCTCTCCGTGGCCCCTCCCTCCCGGGGAGGCACCCGAAATGGGAGGAAGAAAGACCGGGGTCGGGAGTGCCGGGGCGTAGGTTAATGGGCAAAGAGGCGGAGTGGGACCCCCCCACCCCCCACCCGCGTCTCCAACGAGAACGAACCGGCCAGGGGAGCAGGGAGAGTCCTCGGCGGATCACCCCTAGATAGGAAAGTGGGCACCCGAGGAAAAGTAAAGGGCCCAGTGCGGACTTCAGAAACACACCCGACCCGGGAGAAGACAGAAAACACACGTCGCTCCAAAGGGCGAGCGGGGAGGGAGAACCTTCCACTGGGGAGCCTGGCCCCGACTTCCCGTCCTTCCTCCGCTCCGTCCCCCCAGTGTGGCCAGCCTCGGGTGTCGCCCTGTGGCCGGGGGAGGAGGGAGACCCGGGCCTGGACGTGGGTGGGTGCGGCGGGGCGGGCAGCGGCCCGGGAGACTGACCTCGATCGGGCTGACGGGAGTGGAGGACAGCGGCTGCAGGTACTCCGGGTGCAGGAGGTGGCCGGTGTGAGCGCTCAGCATCTTCAGGACCCTGATCGGGAGCCGGTTCGCCTGGCGCAGAGGGTCCGCCGGGGGCAGGAGGGACACGGCCGCCGGCACCGCCGGCCTCTTCCCGCCGCCGCCGCCGCTGCCGCTGCCGCTGCCGCTGCTCTCGGGTGTCCTTGGGTTAGATCCAGCGGGCGAATCGCTCATTTGGAGGAGGCAGCGCCGCTGGGGGGGCGGGGAGGGAGGGCGAGCGCCGGGAGGCGAGCTCCGGGGCGGGTAGGCTCGCTCCGCAGCGTCGGTCGCCGCGCGGCAGTCGCTGCGCCTCCGCGCAGCCTCCCCTCCTCCACCGCCGCCGCCGCCACCGCCGCCGCCGCCGCCGCCGCCGCGATCGCCCCGGCCAGCCACACAAAAACCTTCGCCTTCCGCGAGCCGCGCGTCAAATAGCGGCCGGCGGCGGCCACACTTCAAAGGGATCGCCGCACCCGCCCAATCGCGGCTCTCGCCCGGGCCCCGGGGCGGAGACAGGGGCGGGCGGAGGCCGGCGCCGCCGGTGGGCGGGGAGAGTCTTAAAGGGCCCGCTCCAGGCCTCCGGCCCTACCGCCCGGACTCCTCCCTCCTCCTCCTCCCTGCTCCACTACGCCGTCCTGGGCTCGGGGTACCCCCCCCCCGGAGGCCGGGCTTCGTGGGGATCCTAGGCCCTGCGCCCTCCCGTCGCTGTCCCCTCTCTCCCTGCCGGCTGCTGGGGGGTGGTGCTGGTGGGGGTGGCCACCCGGGGTGTCTGGGGAGTGGTGGGGTGGGGGCGAACGGCGTCCCGCTAGGGTCGTGTTGGGTCCCAGCCTCCCCCTGGGGCCTCCTGGGATTGAGGCCGGCTCCGTCTCCGCCGCACCCCGGCGGCCCTGCTTTCCTCGAACTGGCCTTTCCCGGGACGCCCCACTACGTTCGGGGCGCGGTGGGATCGCTCCAACCACTTTCCGGCAGTCGGGTCCGAAGCTCGCAAGTGGAAGGACTCGGCGCTGGGGTGAGCGTGGGGGCTAAGCGCGGGACCGGGCGGAGCGCGGCGCGCGGCTGCTCCCCGAGCGCCCTGCCCGCGCCCTGATGTACAGACTCGGGGTTGGGGTGCGTTTCTGGTCTCTCGTCGCGTCCTGTTTGGAGGCCTAATGTTCCTTCTCTGTACCGTGGCTAGCTACTATTTTGGGGGGTGGCGAGTGGGGGGAGAAATCTGGATGTTACACGGAGAGGCCGTTATCTTGGAGGTCGGGAATCCGCAGGGGACACCAACTTTAAGAGCTGTGTCCTCTCATCTCCCACGCGGGGTGGGGGTGGGGGTGGGGGCAAAATCACTAGTTTTTCCCAGGGAAGTTTCTGAATACAAACTTCTTAATAAAAGAAAAGCAACAACCATACCCTGTCCGACTGCTTTGTACCCCTTGGATGACGCGAACATGGCCACTTTGACCCTTGGCAGAGATCTGCCGTAGTCATCTCCTGACCTTAAAGTTCTCAGTAGGTCGGCTGCTGGTCAGAAGGGAAACTGGGCTCCGGAGTGACCACTTCTCTGAGCTCTCAGCGGCCGGTGGAGGCGCGCTGGTGTCACCGTCTGGCTTTGAGTACCACTTTCCCAGTCCCGATCCATCTCCCCACATGTCAGGCCTGTCACTCAAGGCATATGGCTCCTGGGCTTCTTCCTGAGTGCATGCTGACCAGCAGAGAACTCAAGATGGGACAGAAGATTTCAACGGTTCTTGAAACCAAAGGAAACTACTCCAAAAACACAGCCAGGACCTTTCTCCTGTTCTTTAGAAAAGACACAGGCTTGGTTCCGAGGCTGTCAGTCACAGTGCACTGGGTGTACTTCCCTGGAGCCATGCTATTTTGGGGAACAGTATATGGACTTCTTACCCAGGCTTTTCCTCCTTCCACTTCAATCCTGGAAAAATTAGGTTAAACTGAGTGGTAAAGGATACCTTGAGTGGGAGGTGTCACCCAGCAAGAGGGGCTCCGGAATGGAAAGAAAGGGAAGGGCATCACATTAATATAACTGTGCTCCTGCCCCTGCATTCTGACTTCACTGTCGTGGCCAGCACCACCTTTAAAAGTCCACTGCAGACACTGCTCCAACCTACAAGGCCATTTGGCCTTCAGGAGGCTGCTGGGGGACAAGGGGGAGGGTGGTGACAGAGAAGAAAGCCAGAGTACAGAAGAGCTGACTGGGACAAGGGGAGACTTAGGAGACAGTAAAAGATGAAAGAGTCCTTGATTATTGTAACCAGCACAGCTGTGAGAGTGTGCCAAGAAATCCTTCTAGGACTCAAGCAGATGTGTGTTAGAAATGATTAATGGGAAGTAAGTCGGAGGAAAAGAGGAGGGAGAGAGGAGACATTTAGGAATGTAGAAGAGAAGGAGGGGGCAGGAGTCAGCAGAGAGGAGGACAATGGGCATTTCCCCTCTCTTTGGAGAAAAGGTAATGAATGAATGAAAGGTTGATAAGAGGGGGTGAGGACTGGATGGCCAGGTTGGGTGTGTGTGTGTGTGTGTGTGTGTGTGTAATGGGTGGGAAGTTACTTAGGTAATAAACTACTGACCTTTTAAGAAACCTCTTTCCTTCAGCTTACAGCACTCATCACTGCATTGCTGTTAGTAGGGCCTGACTGTCTAGGGGGTAGAACACACTGGGAAAAACAGGAGACTAGTGACACTACTGGGGTGTGGCAAGGGCAGTGGGGTTTCTTTAGCTGGATCCATCTACTGACGCCTTCAGAGAGAAAATGGAAAACCATACTTAGCCAGGCCAGAGGCCTAATTAAAACACTTGAGATGATTGTTACAATCAGCATTTGACATTCACTTAGCTAAAACGCTAACCTATACAGAGCCCTAAATGGGGCCCTAGTGGCTTGAAAGGGAGTAGTTTTCAAAGGAATGGCTTGTCACCTGGCAGAGAATGACTCAGTGTTCAATTGGACCATGTGGACCGAGGGCCAGCTGTGGGCAGAACATTGTGTGTGTGGTTGAAAAGGCCATATAGGCTGTTGTTGCATAGGGCATATGGCACAAGCCCTTCTTTTGCCACACACACACACACACACACACACACACACACACACACACACACACACAGATGAAGGGACCTTGTTGTATGCTCTGGTTGTCCTGGGAATGGGTGGCCACAGGAGTGAGGACTTCTTGAGAATGTTTCTCTGATGTTGTAGTGGAGAACAATTCTGCAGTCCAGGTGTTTAATACACACCAGGTGCTGTTAGCAGCCCAGCCAAAGCTGCAGGAATATAAACATTAGACACCCGAAGTCACAAGAGAATGAGAGGCAGAGCAGCTACTTGAAGTTGGGTCTTGGGTTTCTGGGTGCCCGGTAGGTAACCATGATGCGTTGGTGATTCTGAGCAAGTTGATCTGTCTAAATGCCAGCTTCCTCATGCATAAACCTAAGATCAGCACCCCAGAACCTGGTGGCCACAAGCCAGCAATGAATATCACATGTGGGGTGCTTGGTACAAAGAAAGTCCCAGGTAAATGATGGTTGAGACACATTGTGTCATCTCCATCTTGGGACAATTGCTCTGGGGAATAGACACACCAGCACTTGAATCTGGAGGATCTTGGTACTGGGAATCCACAGGAAGAGCCTAGACTGGCCTGGAAGTCTATAGGATGAGAGTAATCCCTTCTCCAGTGTTTAGTCTACGGCATCCTAGGAAAAAATGCCCTTCAGACATCATCAAGAAAAACCTTTAGAAACTGTGAATATTTATAGACTTTTTTTTCCTGACTTCAATTTACATAAAATTCACCACCCAGGAAAAAAAATGCCTGAGTCAGGTTGAGAGGAAGAGGTGGTAGATTTGTTATGTGGGGTTAATGTGTAGTTTTCACTCCTCACTGAGGTAGAATTGCCTGAATGATCGCCTCTCTGCATAACACTCAAACCCTAATGGCAGCAACATGAAATAATATCTCACTGGGTAACTATTTACATTTTTTTTTACAGGCTGTAAGAAGTCTGAAAAGTCTGTCTCCTAGAGAACTTGGTTTTTCTCCCCTGTGTTTAATATCTTTCAGAGTCTGGCAATTTCCACCTTGGCCAAGAGCCTTGCATGAGCACTCTGTGCTCAGGGCACTCAGAGGCATTTCCTCAGATTGCTCCATCCCTGGGTTTCAGACAGCACCTGGGGCTTGACAAGGTCACTGAGGCTCCCAGGGAGCAAATAGGTGACATCCAGGCCAGTCAGCCTTGCAAGAAATCCACGCCAATGACCCAAGGAGCTCTGTGTTCTCAGAGTTCCTATTGTGTTCTGTTCTTAGGGCCTCTGCCTTGATCATTTCCTGGTTTCATCCCCCATTGAACTGTGGATGTTATGGTGCTATCTTTATCCTCTTTGTGTTCTCCTGCTTAGCAGTGTGTGGGAGTGTCAGGCACCCATCTAAGCACTTTGCATGTGCTGTATGCCACTCCATCCCTAAAGAAACCCAAGAGGTAGGTCCTATTGGTGATCCCACTTCACAGAGGAGGAAATGGAATGGAGTGGTTGAGCCCTTCCCCTAGGTCTGAGCTATACACAGAGGGAGGGCTGACAATGAAATAAGTGTCCATGAACGTTTGCTAATGCATATGGATTTTACATGTTGAGGGTTATTTATTCATGTCTCACCTCACCATACTTACAGAAGATTTAAGGTGGGGCCAGTGAATGCAGTCATAATATTCCGTGTACATAGGTGAAATTGGGAGCAGGTAAATTGAGGGGAGAGGTGGGATTGGGAGGGATGGGGAGAATGATGAAAGTCAAGTAACCTCAAGATGTGTTGTACTCATAAACTGATACATTGAGTTGAAACCCCTTTGTATTAACTGCTTAAAGATAATAATAATATAGTGAAAGATTTAAGATGGATGACTATATTTTTCAAACTGATGGCCATGTAACCATTCGAAAGTATCTTTTCCCAAATGCAATTTATTGATTTTTGAGGCAGTGTCTTTCTCTGTAGCTGGCCTGGGACTCAGCATCCTCTTGCTTCACTCACCCAACTGCATATTGGTCTTATATCAATTCTTGAAGTTATTTTGGATGAGTTTTATTACCCATGTTTGTCAGATGAAGAATCAGGCTCTGAGATCTCAAGGGAGAATTTGAAGCCACCTTAAGCAGCTGCAGAGTGGAGTTTGGGAGTGAGGCTATCTTAACTCTCTTCCTGGTAGTTTGGTCTATT